CTACTTAACCAAAGTTTGAAAATATGTGAGCATAAATTAAAAGTACTCACAATTATTTTTAAGTGCATTAATAAAACAAAGAAATAATGATTACTTAATTAAACAAACAAACAAACTAAGTTATGTAGAAAATAGAACACAACTAACGTACTTACAACAACACCCATTGTGCATTGTGGTGGTGTTGAATGGATCTTTTTTAAACCAAGCCGTTAAACTAAGTTATGAATGAATATAGAACACAACTAACGTACTTACAACAACACTCATTGTGGTGGTGTTGAATGGATATTTCCTACACCAAACCGTTAAACTAAGTTACGTAGAAATATAGAACACAACTAACGTACTTATAACAACACCCATTGTGGTGTTATTGGATGGATCTTTCTTACACCAAACCGTTAAACTAAGTTATGTAGAAACATAGATCATAACTAACGACCTACAACAAAGCCCTTGTTGTGGTGTTGGATGGATCTTTCCTACACCAAACCGTTAAACTAAGTTATGTAGAAACATAGATCATAACTAATGCACTTCCAACATCATCGATTGTGGTAATGTTGGATGGATCTTTCCTACACCAAACCGTTAAACTAAGTTATGTAGAAACATATAACACAAATAACGACCTACAACAAAGCCCTTGTTGTGGTGTTGGATGGATCTTTCCTACACCAAGCCGTTAAACTAAGTTATGTAGAAACATAAAACATAACTAACGTACTTACAACAAGGTCCATTGTGGTGTTGTTGGATGGATCGTTCTTACAACAAACCGTTAAACTAAGTTTTGTAAAAACATAGAACATAACTAACGCACTTCCAATAACACCCACTGTGGTAGTGTTGGATGGACCTTTCCTACACAAAGCCCTTAAACTAAGTTATGTAGAAACATAGAACATAACTAATGGACTTACAGAAACACCAATTGTGTTGTTGTTGGATGGATCTTTCTTACAACGAACCGTTAAACTAAGTTATGTAGAAACATAGAACACAACTAACGTACTTACAACAAGGCCCTTATGGTGGTGTTGGATGGATCTTCTTTCGTTGAATGAACGTGGAGTTATGAAAATCGAGGAACTGAAAAGTCGAAATTACCAGAATCGCAGCTTTTATATAGTATTGTGGAGGGAAAAGAGGAAAACTCAGAAAATAACCAGTTGAAATAATAAGTACAGTTTACTAAAATCGATACCAAAAAATAATATAATTATGAATAATTTTCTTGTATTCAAATTATTGTCTACGTATTAAAACACAAACAAAACCTGCTATAACCCAGAAAATGGGATGATTTTACCGTATTTTAGATTAGTAACGGTTTTCTGAGTATAGAATTATATTATTATTTTAAATGTTTGAAATTAGATATTACTTAGCTTCATAATAATACCTCCCAAAAAGTTGATACGTTATGGAAACATCCCAACATTACATTTTATTTCACCCTAGGGGTGATCATTAATCACCAGGTGTTTACATACAATCAAAACAAGTTATCTTTCTTGTGTGAAATGATATACAGCAATTCTGAATACGTTATCTTTTCATTTAAATGCTAAGCTTAAAACAAGAATACTAAAATCGGAAAGAGAAATAATTTTAATAAAACATATGCTCATTGAGGCTTCAGTTTCTCGTCTTTCTATTACATAAAAAGTATCAGGAGAGCATAGGATCCTCCTAGTGACAACCAACAGAGGCTTAAGCCAAATATCCCAACTAGTTTGCGCAGAAAGTAGAACTAAAAATATCATTTTCAAGACCATGGAACTTGATAGTCATTCTTTATGGGGAAACTTTTGATAAACCAGTTAAGAGAATTGATTCGTTGTTCCTTGAACCCCATGGTGACATAAAATGAGGTCTGTTGTTCTAATTTTAGGGATTATACAAAGAATAAGTACGTTTCATTAACTCAAGATCACCTGAATTAAAAACACATCTTGTTTTCATCTGTTAAACTTCCATGTGACCATAATAACATCAGCATAATGATATTTACTGAAAGTATAAAGAAATCAAATAAGTCATTAGACAGATAGTTGGATTAATTAATGTTGACTAGGATAAATTAAGAGAGAGATAGCTAGATTAGGTAATTTCGACTATGGTAAGTTTGTGAGATAGCGAATGCTATTTTTTGGTTATGGTTTTGCTTATCGTTCTTTTATTCTTCTTCTATCGTTTAGTTATCTTGGAAATTTTAGTTATATTACAACACTAACTCGCCTTTTAGCTGAGCACGTTTATATGTATGTTTTATGAAACTGACATCAGCCTCCCTCGTGGTGAGGCACATATATTATTAATGTAGGAAAAAAATTATATGAATTTATGAATACACCACTCACCTGCTAACTCACCTTCTAGCTGAGCGCGTTTATACGTATGTATTATGAAACCAGCTTCCCTAGCGGTGAGGTACTGATATTATTAATGTAGCAACAGATTATGTAAATTTATGATCACGTGAGATGTACTTTCGTAACCTAATGGAGCGAATAAATACTCTGACATAAGCTTCTTAAACTGAGTCACGAGATAGTTATTGAACAATATAGTTAATGAATTATTGCTGTTTGTCACTCGATGTTGTTATTAACATAGAAACGTGATTTTGGAATATCGTGTTTTTTTTTTAATTAGGAGATTTTTCATTTTTCTGATTCTATGATTTGAAATATTTAATATTGATATTTATATTTTATTGTTCATTAACATTAGTACCAGGCACATGTTTATGAACTGTGTTTTTGGAAAGTGCTAAATTTTATTCCAAGTATGGTTACAGTTTAATAAATGTTTGTTTGTTGTTGTTGTTTTTTTTTTTGTTGTTGAACCCTGATGGTAGCGCGTGTTATTTTCAGACGGTTACAAGTTAACAGAGGGGTGATTAGACTTGCTAATCTCGCCAAAGAATAGTTGGATTAGGTAATTTTGTCTATGAAATTAACAAATATATTGGTAAGGTAACTAATTTCGTCATTTTCTATTATTTTTGCCATTAAATGAAAGTTCTGAAAAATTAACATGTCACCATTGAAAAGAACTTTGAAGATCAATTTGAAATAAACAGATGTTGGTTTGTCAGGTGCAGAAACCCCTCAGTCTTCATGAAAACTACTATCATTCCGTTATCATAGTGCTGGTTTGTCATGTGCAGGAATCCCCCCAATCTTCATGAAAACTACTATCATTCCGTTATCATAGTGCTGGTTTGTCAGGTGTAGAAACCCACAGTCTACATGAAAACTACTATTATTCCGTTATCACACTGTTGATTTGTGAGGTGCAGGAACCTCCCCCCCCCCCCCAGTCTTCATGAAACCTACTAACATTCCGTTATCACAGTGTGTTGGTTTGTCAGGTACAGAATTCTCAATCTTC